GGGGGGGGGGTCTAAAAATCAAGATGGGTTCTTACTCCTTTTTAGAAAAAAGAAATAGCCAGCTTCTCCTGTGCTGATCTAATGGAGGCTTATCTCCAACTGGAAGCTTTACCACCTTTTATCATTTTTTTTGTATTCTAAAGCTAGATAAATGTGCTCAAGGGCTTATGCTTAGATAAATTATTTAATAATTTCAGTATAGATTAGTATGAAAGGTTTAGGGAATTAATGTTAGTATATTAATGGCCAGTGAAAGTAAGGGCTCTGTGTACAAATGAAGTTGAGCAGATAACATACATTTTTGTTAGGTTGACTTTTAATCCTCTGAATTTTCAAACCACGGAAGTGTGAGGAACTGTCTTTTTTGCAAGTGCTGAAAGATATGTAGAAGCCATATCTTACCTTGCCCCATAGCACAAATTACTGACGCTGACTGGTCAGTAAAAATTAGAAGTCTAATGTTTGGAATAGTCTCAACAGCCAAGTTGTATGTGCAGAGACAAATATGCTAAGCTAGTGTTTTACGGTAGTATCGAAGTAACAAATCTATTATAAATTGGTGGTTGCTTTCATGGCACAATGAAATGAGAAACATGGATACAGAGACCATTGCTTTCCATAAAACTTCATCATTAGTAAAAAGAGAAGAGAACTAGCATGTATACTGCCTTGGCCTCCAGGTCGCTGGACTAGATGGACCACTGGTCTGATCCAACAGGTCTGCTCTTATGTGCTTAGACCAGGGCTGCCCAACATGGTGCCTGTAGGTGCCATGGAGTCCACAGACAACTTTCCTGGTGCCCACCAAGTGTTTTTAGAAAGTAGGTGGAGCCAGGTGGGGTTTTTCCCAAGCAAGGCTTCTGATGGGCTACTGAAGATTCGTTTGGCTGTGCCTTTCTTTTTAAAATGTTTGGCAGCAGCTGCTATCACAGCACCAGGAGCTTCACTGTGTGACTGAAGGTAAGCTGTAGCAGCCATTGTGTCTCTGGCTCTGCCATTTTGTGGCTGTGCCCACCACGCTGTGTCAGAATGTGAAGGCACCTACAGGCTCAGAAAGTCTGGGGACCCCTGTCTTAGACACTAGAGGAGATGCATGATTGTCATTGGAAAGAGCAACCCTGCTTCTGCTCCTCTTCTATTCTTTGCTAGTATCCAGTCATGTAAAAACTGTGGCTGTTTTGTCTGAACATTGGGACCATGTTTTGTATTATATTATTAGGGGAGAAGAGTAGAAGGGTGATACTCTTTTATCTAAGCATGCACTTCATGTAATGTGTTTCCAAGCCTGATAGGATTGGCTTGTGAATCATTTGTGGCTCAAGTGGTTAAGACGCTGAACTGCAGGCTGTGGAAGGTCAGTAGTTCAGCAGTTCGAGACCCGGGTGCCGCAAGACGGAGTGAGCTCCCGTCTCTAATTCCAGCTCCTGCCAACCTAGCAGTTCGAAAGCAAGAAATTGCAAGTAGATAAATAGGTACCACTTTGGTGGGAAGGTAACAGCGTTCCGTGCACCTTGGTGTTTAGTCATGCCGGCCACATGACCACGGAAACGTCTTCGGACAGCTCTGGCTCTTCGGCTTTGAAACGGAGATGAGCACCGCTACCCTAGAGTCGGATTCGACTGGCTTTCGAGCAAGGGAACCTTTACCTTTACCTTTTTACCAAGGATGAATTTAGTGTATATAAACTTCTCATATATTTTCTGAAACTTGAAGATTGGGTGGGAAACAATGACAGTGTTCTTCATTAAAAACAGAATTTATGTGGGTCATCTACAACTTTTATTTTTTATTTTTTTAAAGAAAAACACCATCTGAATGAGAAAAAAAAATCCATCTAAATGCAGGTTTGCTTCAGAACTTCAAAGAGAACTTGTCATCTAACAATAAAAGCAATTAGGAAAATGGTTTTTAGTTCTTAACACAACCGCCTAAGATTCTTGTTGACGCACAGCATTGTGCTCCCACATTCCAGGGTATTTTTCTTCTGTTATAAGACAAAACAGAGTAAAATTAGCTTGCTTCCAAGCATTGGAAATATATTCAGTATAATAATAATTGCTACTCTTTTAAGAGCTAATAGGATGGCATAATATTGGGCAAATTTTCAGCAGAATAAATTCCAATTCACATTATTTCCGTAAATGCAAAATGTCCAGTATGTTTAGCAGCTTCATACTTGAGGAACACCTTCACCTAAATTCATTTAATGCATATGCCTCCCTGCTCCATTTCTAAATGTGTGCAGACTGATTGACCCAAAGGACCCAGGAACATGATCTGCATATGCCCCAATGCTCTTTATGTTAATAAAATTCAGCACAGAGGGTCTTGAATCTGTCAAGAAGCTTGCCTATGGCAGGGTGGCCTTTCTTGTTTTGCCAGCTGAAACAAAGGTGGCTGATATAATATTTCATATTCTTGTCCTTGCCTAAAATGGGGTTACATTCAAAGACGGAGGGGAATTTTTAAGCTCTATAAAAGAATTCATCAAGAAGCAAAAATTCTGCAACTGCTTCCAGGATGTCAATAAAATGTAAAGGTGGGAAGTGATAACAACAATCTCATTAAATTAGTCTGAATGGCAGCACACCATGACTTGGATCCTGCAGTAATTTCAGAGAGCCAGTTTGTTGTGGAGAGCCAGTTTGGTGTAGTGGTTAAGTGTGTGGACTCTAATCTGGGAGAACCGGGTTTGATTCCGCACTCCTCCACTTGCACCTGCTGATGTGACCTTGAGTCAGTCACAAACTCTGGCACAAGTGTCCTTGAAAAAGAGCAGTTTGTGTCAGAGTTCTCTCAGCCACACCCACCTCACAGGGTGTCTGTTGTGGGGAGGGGAAGGAAAGGAGTTTGTAAGCTGCTCTGAGACTCCAAGTGAAGGGCGAGATATAAATCCAATCTCTTCTTCTTCTTCTTCTGTTGATAGGGGGTTTTCTGTCAGCAGATCAAGACTTCCTGCTGCAGCCCCAAATGCCCCTAAAGTGCTGCTCCTGGGAGACAGGGGACTCCTAGAAACCAATGGGAGGGGGAATCAGAGGTCTGCAGCAGTAGGGGGAGTAGGCAAAATGACCTCCCCTTCCATTTGTGGAAATCCTCTGTTGGATCAAAGTCCATCTCTCAATTGCATGACCAAATCATGAAGATAAGCTAGTTTTACAGAAATCAGGCCTCAGTTTCACCTATGGGCTGCTGTCAAAACAGAGATTATCTTACAAGAATCTTCTAGTCTGTTCCAGCTAAAACACAGTTTTCTGATTTAACTCTACTGTTCTACATAGTTCTCTGATTTGCTGCTGGTGGTAGTCATCCCCCACATGGTTGTCCATCCAGGCCTGTTAATTAGGCTCAGTTAGTTCAGGTGTGGGTCTGGTACTGGAGGGGGAATTTGGAATACTGTGTGCAATTCTAGTCACCACACCTCAAGAAGGATATTATAGCATTGGGAAAAGTGCAGAAAAGGGCAACTAGAGTGACAAAAGGGTTGGAACACTTTCCCTATGAATAAAGGTTAAGGTGCTTGGGGCTTTTTAGCTTGGAGAAACAACGACTGAGGGGTGACATGATGGACGTTTACAAGATTATGCATAAGATAGAGCAGATAGAGAAATAAGTACTTTTCTCCCTTTCTCACAATACAAGAACTTGTGGGCATTCAATGAAATAGCTTAGCAGTCGGGTTAGAATGGATAAAAGGAAGTACTTCTTCACCCAAAGAGTGATGGAATTCACTGCCACAGGAGGTCCATCAGTGGCTATTAGCCATAAGGAACTCTTGGTCTGGGGCAAGTGATACTCTGTATTCTTGGTGCTTGGGGGGGTCAACAGTGGGAGGGCTTCTAACATTCTGGCCCATTGGTGGGCCTCCTGATGGCACCTGGTATTTTGGCCACTTTGTGACAGAGTGTTGGACTCGGTGGGCCGTTGGCCTGATCCAAAATTGGCTTCTATTATGCTCTCTTATGATCTTATGAACTCACTCCTATGTGGAAGATTCCATGGATACTGTTCAGTGATTGGTTGAGGGAGTCAGGAGGTTATGGCCTGCAGTTTTCTATAAATATATTAACTGAGAAGAAGTGGTATTCTCCTTGTTTTTACCATTTTCTCTGCAATCATCCCTGCTGCCAAGAAGACATCTGTATTATGCTTAAGGACTCTGCTTCCAGAGCCAAATGTGCTGTGTTAGGACTCCAGTAAGAGGTAGCAAGTTAGCTTTGTTGTTTTTCTGCACACATTTACCATTATTGAACTATACACTTTGTTTCTAAACATTTTCCTTGGATTTTTTCAATAAAGCTCTATTTTGTTTATTTATGTTTGTGTGTTACTCAGGAAGTTGCTGAGACCAAACCCAGGTACATTTTAGTTACATTACCCCACCAAGGCAGGGTCAGCCTTGACAGCTGCCCACAATTTTTTTTTCTAGTTGGGTTGCTAGTCAGTACAAACGTAATATTTTTCAGAATATAGAATGTTATGTTTCTTCTCTAAGCTTTGTAAGGTTAGTTAAAGTGAAAGAGATAGTGACTTGCCAGCAATATTTTCCATGGGTCTTCCTCTGGGTTTTTCATGTTGAATTCTGATGCACCATCTTTTGTACCACAGTGATGGTGACACAATGGTCAAGTTAGCTGAACCCAGTAAACAGAACAAATGCTATCAGTCTTCACTCATCTATTTTCTATGTTACCCAGTTACCTTGTATTTGAAAAGGTTTATATAAACTGTATCAATAGAGCTTTAGTTTTGTGAACTGAGTGCAACTGAAAATGTGAGATGAGGTTACCCTTCTTGTTTTTAAAGATTCTGTTGGTTGTGTTTGTGCTTTAGATTAGCCTCAAAAACTTTCTTCAAAAATAGGGCTGATATAGCTAAAGTGCTTCTCAAAATGAGTAGGCTTCTTGAAGTTGGCACTTAAAGTCGATTTCATGAAGGGCTTTAATGTCTGGCAACTTTTTGTTGCTGTTAAAGCTAATGTAAGTTTATTTTCTTCTTCTTAGCCATATAGTCTTGATGCTCGCAGATGATATGGCCTGCAACCCACGGAATCCAAGACCAGCTACTGTGTTCAGTCACAAAAACATGGAACTGAATGTTTATGGTGATGATGTGGAAGTGGATTATAGAAGCTATGAGGTTAAGTATTGAGCAAATCCTGAATGGAGTTCTTGATGCTTAATGGATTTAGGCCCATCAGTAGGGTGACAGTCTGTTATACATGTGTGGCCACTGTGGTCCCAACAACTGAATGGGAATTGCTACCAGATGCAAGGTTGAAGCAGGTAGATGGGTACTGAATAAAATTCTGCTTTGGCACTGCAGCGGTTC